ACCAGACCGTCTATAAACATTTCTGGTTGGGGACTCGGATTGAATCTGGCTGTGATCGTCGTCCTGACTGCGACGTTAAATAATTCCTGAAGAGATGGGGGCGCTCTTAATAATCCTCCTGATCAGCCAGATCAACCGGGTGTAAGGCTCGTCGGCGTACGAGGGTAAATAAGAGTGTTGTGGCTGCCTTGCTCGACGATAACTTGAGGCACAGGGGTGGGACCAGATTGCACACCTTTAGACACGCTGCTCAACCAGATGCTCAGGGACGTTGACACAAAGTGACTAATCAAGAAGGATACAGGGGGAGGGGGGATTTCGGTAACTGTTCACAACGGCACTCAACAGACTATCTGCCATCCAGTGTACATCTCCAACAGGAGATGTTATTTTTGTTTTTGATTATCTAGTTGTTATAGACTTGCTGACAACTGACAGACAGCTACAGATAGACTAGATCTTTGTTGTATTGCAATCTGTTCTAGGGTAATCTAAAAATAGATTTGATATATCCTGTAGGACCTGACATTAGTTGTTGCTACATCACTTAACTATTTCTGTTCATGTCGACCGTGGTTAGTTGTGTATCATATACGGATGTGTGTCAAGCTAAGGTAGGATTCAGTGTGGATTCTAGTTTAGATCACACACACTGTAGCTCATGAGTGATCCAAGCACAAGTGAGGACGAGTTACTAGTGGACGACCGTAGGACTACTCGCGGGACTGCCCGCAGTCGACTCTTGACATTCCTGGAGTTAGGTCCAGGAGACGAGAGAAGATTGAGGAGAGAGGCTAGAGAGAGGACAGCAGCAAGGAGAGCGAGGGCAGTTGAGGATAGTGCTAGGGCTAGAACTTCAGCTAGCACCAGTGCAGCCATGGCTACCTCATCTATGACGCAATCCTCTACACAGCCCACTTCGTCAGGAGTCAGTCAGAGTGGCACTCAGGGAGTCACTAGTCAGATTGGTCATGTGCGAGTCAGCCAGTCTCCACTCACACCGGAGGACTTCGAAATCCGGCAGGCAGAAGAACTTCGGGATGAGTTACAGCGGCAGATGGACGATGTAGTATAGAGGAGAAGGAAAGCTATGCAAAGAAAGGCTAGACTAGAGAGTAGAGCTCAGGAGCTAGGCAGGCTGGAAAGACTAGATGAGCCAACACTAGACCCTGTTGTCCGTGTGCTGCGAGGCGCCTTACTTTCAGTGGCGGAAGCGCAAAGCGTTCAGCAGGAATTGTTGGCTGATTTAGTAGCAGGCCAGAAACAAATTCTGGCTGAACTACGGGGTCCTCGCACAATGGTGAGGCCGCCACAGTTTGCTGTAGTTCCCCCTGCAGCTGCGGGTCCATCATCGATGCCGCAACGCACAGGGCAAACTTTCTCTCCCATGTTTGGCATACCCTCCCCGGGTGATTTAGTAGCAACTAGTGGTCCGGTTCATTCAGTCTCAGTCGTACCATCTACAACAGTGGTCACTACAGTCCCACTCTCCAGCCAGGCTCAGGTTAGTATGCAACAGCCTGTTTCAGTGGCTATGCAGCCGCTGCAGCAAGCACCTGGGCCCATGCAGCCTATGCAGTGGATGCCCAAGATAGCTTTAATGAGTCCCAAGCCTTTCTCCGACAATAAGAAGGAGGAAGACTTGGACACTTGGGTGAGAACTGTGCCTACTTATGTGAGGCATAAACTCACAAGACCAGAACAAGAAGTTGTAGTGGCTGCCTCCTTTTTAGAAGGATCAGCAGCCCGCTGGTTAAATGGCTTAGTGCAGCAACAGGGCTACAGTCAAAACTTCGATGCCTGGGCACAATCCCAGACATTGGAAGAGTTCATACGGTCCGTGTACAACAAGTGGCATGACCCACAAGGGGCTCAGAAGGCCACTGATGCTATCAACAGTCTTTGTTCCCGAAGGTTCAAGAATGTTGGAGAGCTAACGAACGCCGCAGAATGACTAATCGTGGTACCTGGTGTGCGTTTTGACCAGCAGGTTCTCCTAACGGATTACCTAAGGTGCCTACCTTCAGAGGTAAGGACCAAGCTGGTTGACGAAGCCTATGTTGAACAGCACACCTTCGCTTCTTTTAGTAAGAAAGCTCTGGACATCGAGGCCAAGCTAGGATCTGCACATCAGGCACCCAACGATGGTAGGAAGAGACCACGATGGTCAAACGACAGAGATTGACGCCCACTCGGATCTTGGGGAGTTCACAGAGCACGATGGGGGTGTTGAGACTTCAGATGGTGGAGTCGTGGCCCCCATCAAGGAAAAGGCTAGGGGAACCGAGAAGAAGAAGGTAGTACGGTCCACGGGTCAGGGCGACCAAGGGACACCCGCATGGGTGAAGATTGGTTTAGACTACGAGGTGTGGCGTGACCGCGTTGCTAGGGGTACATGCATGAACTGTGGCAACTATGGCCACACGTCCAGGACTTGCCGCGGCAAGAAAGTCACAACGAAGGTAGCCTCACCAACGGTGGTGGGCTTATCTTCGAACCCTGGGAGTGCTTCTGCGA